GTTACTATGTTTATCTATATCCATATCTAATGGATATGTTTATCTATATCCATATCTAATGGATACGTCTGGTTAAGTTACTATGTTTATCTATAACCTTCTTGAGTAGCATTTGCTTGGGTTTCTATCACTTTGCTTTAAATTCACAGTGGTTCTTACTTCAACCAAAATCAAGAACGGATTCCAGAAATACCTAGTAACGCATTTGCCTTTCTTTCCTAATAAGTTTTCTTTACGTGTTCCTTGGACAGAAAAGTCATTCGAAAATGCCTTGAGTGTCACCACAGATGGTCGTATTGACACTTTGACAACTCAGTGCCCCAGATGGGGAAATTCTGCCACCTTTCTTCCTCCCACCTGGTTTTGACCTCTCTAGTGGCTTCTAGGTACTAGAGAAAGTTCTAAACTGTGTGTACACTTAGCATCCAATTGCCAGGTAAAACCCCAAAACCCCATGGAGCCCCTGAGAAAGTGGTCCTCGTGCGTGCTTTTTTTTATCATGTTTTCAAATGGGATTGACTGCAAAGGCTCCTCTTTGGCTGAAAGGCTAGAACGATGAGATAACAGAGCAGGTGGAACAGTCCAGGGTCGGGGGAGTCAGGTCAGATTCTCTCCTCTTTGCTGAACATTTAGCCAGTGGGACCTGTGTCTCCCAGGTGAGGGGAGATGTCACTCGGTGATAATTTTTCAGGTAGCTTACCACGTCATGCTGCACCCTTTGGACACTAGTTAAGGGCACAGAAGCCTGATAGCTCCTGACATTGACATGAGTTGACCACTGTGTCCTGGCCCCACAGGCCCCCACTCGGACCCCCCGTCCTGCAACGCCAACTCCATCTCCTGCCCTTCACCCTGCACTTGCAGCAACAACATCGTGGACTGTCGCGGGAAGGGCTTGACAGAAATCCCCGCCAACTTGCCAGAGGGCATTGTGGAAATGTAAGTACCACCCCTTCCTCCATGGTCAGTTCTCCTCTCGGTCCCAGCTGATCCCCTGCTAGACTGTCAGCCTGTGATCAGTTGTGTATTGGTGCTAACCATTAAAAACACTAGGAATCTCTTTGGAATCCTTCCAACTTACCCAGCTATGATAGCTCAGAAGTCAGGAGCATAGACTTGAGAACAAAGTCTGCAAGCTACAGCCCATGGATGAAATACACCCACCACCTACTTTTGCAAATACAATTTTATTGGAACACCTCCACCCCTACTGTGTCCTGTCTGTGGCTGTTCTCATGTGGCAGCATTGAGTAGATGCAGCAGAGGACTGTATGACCCAGAAGGCCTAAAATATGTTCTGTCTGGCCCTTTGCAGTAAGTTTGCCAATCCCTGCCCTAGAGCCACACCGATTATACTCTGGCTCTACCATCTTCCAGCTGTGTGACCTCAGGGGAAATAATTTCTCTTTCATCTTTAGCTTTCTCACCTATACTAATGTGATGATTATAGCATTACACCTCAATGGGTCATCATGAAAACTAAATGAAATACTGTACGTGAAGCGCTTAATGCAGTCCTCAGCACATGGGCGAGTGCTCTCTGGAATAGCGATGATGGTGGTGGTAAGTAACCAAATGATGAGTCCATTTCATAGTTACCACCATCTGAGAACAGGACTGATCTCTGAATCATTTCAAAGCTGGCTTTTGTCCTTTTAACTAGAGCTTTAGGTAAAGAGATAAAATTGTGCATGCCTATGTGTGTGTACAGATGTCTAAACTTTTAGTAACATTTGTTTGTTCGTGTAGCTCAGTCTTTTCCGCTCTCCTCTCCGGCCCCATACATTAGAAAATGGCCAGTGTCTCATTCTGGAATGAGTAGAGGGGTCAGTCAACACTGACCTCAAGAGCACTCTTTAAATTGCAGCAATTGTTTTCATTTTCTCTCTTCGTCTTTAGATGGCTTCATTAAAAACATCATTATACATACATGGAACTCTACCAATAGATAACCCACTGACTCCTTTATTCATTTGTGTATTCATTCAGCAAATACCTATTGTGAACCCTCTGTGTCATTCTGTGCTTGGAAAGACAGCAGTGAACAATATAGACAAATTTCTGCCTTTATGATACTTGCATTTCAGAAGTGGGGAGAATAAATAATAAGCAAAGTAAATTAGAGCATATATTAGAAGGTGGTGGGTTCCATGGAGAAAAAGGACGCAAAGGAAGGACTTGAAGTAAGAGAAGAAACAATTGGCTATGTGGAGGAAAAGTATTATAGGGATGGGACTGGCATGTGCAAAGGCCCTGAGGCAGGAGTGTGCCTGTGAACCAGAGGCCAGTAGAGTGGAGTAAACCAATGGGACCATAGCAGGGGGTGAGGTTGGGGAGGGTAACAAGGAGCCAGATCCTGGGGTACTGTAAGGACTTCTGTTGCATTGACTGAGATGGGAGGAAGCGTATGACTTACCCCATAGAGTCTTACTTTCTTCCTTCATCTACTTGGCCAGCTTTTCTCTGATTCCCTTTAAAGCTCTCTTCCTAAGCCCCAATGGACACATCCCCGCCCCATGCCATTCCTGGAGGCAGAAGCTGGGCAAGACGACTCCTGTCTGGCTGCCTTCCATGCCCTCGGTGGCCTTCATCCAGCTGTGCTCACAGTCCTCAGTTGTCTTTCCCACAAGCACCAACAGCTCATCCCCCTGGTGTCCTACTGTGAGTCTCCTCAGTTCCCTTGGTCCCTCGCTCTAATTTTGCAGAGGTGTCTCTGTGAGATCCACTTAGACTGCACCCGCCTTCTGCTCCTCCCCAGCCTCTCTCCCTCCTTCCGGTTTTCCTCTTCCCCTTCTGCACTGTCTCCCTCCATCATTTCCTCCCTCCCTCCCTGCGTTTCGCCCTCTCCCTTGCCCTGCCCACAGTCTTCCCACCTCACTTCCCTCCCATCCCTCTCTCTACCCAGCTAACCCTCTGCTTCCTTTGTAGGCAGGTTGGATTTGGCCCTCCCACCATGGATGTCCTAGATAGACTTCCTGCCAGCCCCCACCTCGTTTCATATTCCCGTAGATCCTTGCTTTCTTTTTCGGCCCCACCTTGTTCCTTTCCCCTTCCATCTGCCAGGTTTTATCTTTTCTCTTTGGCAGCTGCAGACCTTCCTTGGCCGGGTTCCAAACCACAGTCTGATGAAAAGAGGCCAGTCCTGGTAGCCACACTATAGCCTGTGACCCCCACCCCAGCTCTGATTTGGGGGGACCAGACCTGCCTCCTCTGCTCCTGCTTCACATCTTTATTCCCCTGTCTTAGACCTCTAAAGTACAGAGCTCAGCCTTCTGGGCTGAAGGAACTTCAGATATTCACTTTTTAAAAAATTTCAGATTAACGTGAGGATACAAATAACCAGGTCACAATATTTGAATTTGTTAGGTGGAATCCCTCTTGTAGCTATGTCTTGTACCCAAAAGGCGTGTGACGTACCCCTACATTGTGCCCGTTAGTGGGAATACCCCAAACCCTCCCTCCTCTCTTTCCTCCCTCCCTTCTTCATTCTCCCCCCAGCGTGAATTGAAATGAGTTTTTCTCCTCAATGGGCATGAATTAGATCATCTGCTGGCTTCATATTAGTATTGAGTTTACATTCTTTTGATACTTTATTTAAAAGAATGTGTTTCACCTCCATCCAGCTTAATACAAAAGATGTAAAGTCTCCATCTTTTTATGGCTGAATAGTATTCCATGGTATACATATACAACAGTTTGTTAATCCACCTGGACATTTTATTTTAAAAGCAACATTGACAAACTAGAATGTAACTGTCAAACAGCTGTCTGTGATTATTAGAGTTTTTCCTGATGGGAGGTAAACCAAGAAAAATGTGATGTTTTTCCATTGAGCAAAAATATTCAACTTAAAGGAATGTCCTTAATTTTATGAGATGACAGCCACTGAAGGCAGGTATGTCTGTGTATGTGTCATGCGTAATTATATATATAACTGTTACATGATTATAAATGTATGTGTATTATATAAATAACACATACATGTGGATTGCTATAATTTGCAAAATAAAAGGTTTATAACTACCTAGCCTGTGAAATGCAAATGTTTGGGAATGACCTTCCTAGCTAGAATGTTTTCAGAATAAGCAGCCACAAACAACAGCTAGGTGGCTAAAAGTATAGACTATGGATTCAGGCAGACCCTCAATCTAGCTCTGGCCCTGCCTTATAGCCATTGGCAAATATGTTTTCTGAGCTTTGGTTTCCTCAACTGAAAAATACAGAGGATACTGGTACCTTCTAATGATTCTTAGGAAAGTTGGATGAATGTATGCAGGAAAATGCTTAGCTTTGTGTCTGGCACATATGATATATTGGGTTAGCAAAGACTGGTTTTTTCTGTTTGTTTTGTTTTTATTGGTTCATTGGTTTTTGTTGTTTTTTGTGTGTTTGTTTTTGAGGCTTGGTAGAGTGCCACAGCATCATAGGTAACAGCAACCTCAAACTCCTGGGCTCAATCAATCCTCTTGCCTCAGTCTCCCAAGCAGCTGAGACTATAGGCACCTGCCACAACACCCAGCTATTTTTTTTTTAACACCTGAGCTCATGTAGTCCACCCACCTTGGCCTCCCAGAATGTGCTAGGATTACAGGTGTGAGCCACTGCACCCCACCAAGACTATGATTATTTTATAATGATTATGACTACTGCTATTACCACCACTTTTATTAGGGATAGTGACTGGATTAGAAACCAAATCCTGGGAACTGGAAGTATTTACACAAAAGATTCTTCTCAAAAGATAGGTTAGTTCTTGGAAGGGTGATGATTGAGAGATGCTGTTCCGTAACAAGCTAGCCACTACATAGTTCACTGTGACTTGAACCTAGGCATAGCTCATCTTCATGCAAATGTATTCAGACATGGAAATAAGACTGCCCTGCTTATTGGGCACCCACAGTCTACCAGATGGATGGCTCAGGACTTCTCTTACTGTGTTTGCCTCATTCTCCTCTGTGATGAAATGAAGCTGAGAAATTAAAGCAGATGAGATGAGCCTCTGTGGTTAGGGAGGGTAGTCTGAGAGGTGACATGCAAGAGAGAACTTGGGGACAAAGCAGAACCTGCTTGTTCCAAAGAGCAGCAAAGCCTGTGCTTGAGATCCAGTGGGTTGGCCTAAAAGTCTTTAAAACTGCTAAAATGCATCTTCTTCATGGGGAGAGAGGTTGCAACTGGGTGGAAAGTGAGAAAAAAGGGAGCAGAGAGTCGAAACGGCAGGATGAGTAGGAAGTGTCTGATTTGTCATCCCAGAGTCATTTACGTGTGACTTTTTAATATTAAGAATTCTGCTGCTTGTCCATGGCCACTATCTAATCCAAGTCTGCACTTCCTCTTAGGAATGCTTGGCATATTAGGCTCTCCACTCCCTCTTCCCAATCCTCAGCCACTAATGGTTCTCTTAAACTGCCTTAACCTTAGGAAGTTTCCTGGACTCCCCACCTTTGGGGTGTGGGAGGAGGATGGGGAAGCCTGTGTCTCACGCAGAGCAATCTAGCAGGCTCTCTTAGCTTTCAAGCCAAAACAGCTCAGAGGAGTGTGTGCTGGTCTCCGGGAACACCAGAGCCAGTTCCTCTAAAAATAGCTTTCTTCCAGAGAACCCACAGTGAGATGATTCACTGCAGATTTTCTTCGAAACTGAGCTCCTTCCAATGGCCTAGTTCACCCTGCGTCGTGTCAGAGCTCTGAACCAGCTCTAGCCTCCAGAAGGGAAGGATTGGGGGAAGAGCCAGAGCCCACATGTTCTCTGTTCTGTGGTCTTCAGATATGTTTTGGGATCCTCATATACTCTAGAGGGGCCAATCTGTACTCCCCTCTTTGCATGGTGGGGGTCGTCATACCCACCTAGAGGTCTCCCATGAAGATTAAATAACAAAGTTAGCACAATGTTCGGAAGCCACTAAAAAGACTATAAAAAGTCCAAACAGATACCCATACGTTTATACATATGTCCCAGGACAGAATGATTTAGTCTCAGCTTCCCACACTAGTCTTTATCTGTTTCTTTCTAAGATGAAAAAAATTCCTCTGTAGGCATCTGGGCACATGCATGGAATAAGAAGAGCAAATCTGGCTCTGCGTCTGCACTTCTGCTGTCTGCAGGCAGCGCCAGGCATTCTGCAGACAGCAGGGTAGGAACGGCTGGTGTGCGATATGCCCACATTCCTCATCTCCGCTGTGAACCCAGCAGAAGCACTCAGTGGGAGAGTCTCGGACTCGCTGCCTTCCTCAAGAAGCACAAGCAGCAATAGTTAAGAAGAGGGGGGCAGAAAGGGGCTGCCCCGGAGGTGGGTCCAGAGTAGAACCCTGAGAGGAAACTGCCCCTTCAGCCCTATTCGAGGCAGCAGGAGCTGAACCTTTGGGCTCTGGTTTGTCATCTAGTGTCCAACCAAATGACCCAGGATGACTCGGAGGAAGAACAAACATGGAATGTCCTTCCTTTAGCATGATGTGGACATCCTACCAAGGTCTCAAGCCAAAGGAAGACGAAGAGAGGAGGGAAAGGGGTATGAAACCACAGAGGTGGCTTCTGGGGAGCAATAGGATAGCCGAGTTGCTGGGAACACAGTGCTTGAATCAGACCAGCCTGAGTTCAAGTCTAGGCTCTGCCATTCACTACCTGCCTCACTTGAGGCAAATTGACCTCTCATACCACAATTTCTTCACCTGTAAAATGGGTATATGAATACTGCTGACTTCATAGTCCTGTTGGAAGGAACAATATGAGCCAGTGTGAGAAGTGCACAGTGCCTGGCATATTAAAAGCCCTCAATAAATCGTAGATGCCCATCATTTCATTTCATCACCACAGCTCCAGACCCCCCTGACCAGTTGACTTGCAGACATGCCCTTGCACTGGCTGGCACCCACCAGTCTCTCTGACATCATGACAACTTATGTATTGCTGGAAATATATTGTGTGCAGTAGCATGTTTGCAAATGCCAGATCATTAAGGAAGCACACGAGGAACTAGGGCAAATCAATACAGAGCTCAAATGGCTGAGATCCCCATCAGATGTTCCCATTGTTTTTGCTGGTGCAGGAAGATGCTCAGATGTTTGATTTGTATGTTTGTTTTCAAGCTAGTTCTATTAAATCAGTTAGCAGCCTGAAGAATGTTTGCCAGACAAAGAAAGGCACGTGCCAGTTGAGGGAGACCTGAAGCAGCTGTTGGCTTCAGACACGTCCCTAACTGTGACAGTTTTTGCAGATGTGAATGCTGCTTTTCTTTCTTTCCATGGGAGTTTTTGCACTGGGGGTCTGAATCTTTGCATCCTTTTTCCAGGCTAAAAGATGAGGCTCTGTGTAAAGCCGACCAGGGGTACTTCCTGCACAGAGACTGTGCATACACAGGCACACTGTGTGCACACTCCAGCCTTGCTTCCTGGGCAGACTGGGCAGAGGGGCCCTTTTCCCAGCAGATGAGCTAGCCATGACTAACAGAACAGAGATGCTTCAGATCCAAATGGTATTCAGCAAAGCTCAGTGGGTGAGAGTGGGGGCCTTGGAATCAGAAGAACTTGGGTTCAATTGCCAGCTCTAGCTCTCCCCGACTTTGTAAATTTAGACAAGTGACTTAACCTCTCTGAGCCTCAAATGTCTCAAGTAGGAGTGGTAATAATTAATGAGATCAGCTCCGTAGAGATGTAACTATTAAGTCAGATGAACCATGTAAAACTCTAAGCCCAGTGTCTGACATCTGAACACCTGATCCATCTTAGCTCTTGTGGTCATGGTGATGGTGGTGATGGTGGTGGTGATGGTGGTGGTGGTAGTGATGGTGATGGTGGTGGTGATGGTGATGGTGGTAGTGATGGTGGTGATGGTGGTAGTGATGGTGGTGGTGGTGGTGGTGATGGTGGTAGTGATGGTGGTGGTGGTAATGAAGCTACACTGTTCACAACTGCACCCCCCTACCCCACCTCAAACAAATCCCTTTTGTCTCATGGGGCAAGGTTAACCCCCACTGTGTCATGGACTTTGCTCTCCGTGAGGGGCTAGGTATTTAGCCAAGACGCCAAGCAGCACAAGAAGCTGAGACTGCAGGCAAAAACTGAAGCCCAAGTGAGCAGGTCTGAGGAGCACAGGCTTAGAGCAAAGTGTCTGCCAGGGCTGTCAGGCTAAGCCTGGGATTCTTTGTTCTTTGTTCAAAAACCACACCTCTGCACTTGACTGGCATATTTTATGTGCAGTCACATCTTTATTTCATTTTCCCTTAACTCCTGCATCTTTTCATATAAGTACCTCCTTCCACAGAGGCTGCATGGTGTCTCAGAGTGAGCTCTGTGGTCTTAATCCCTTAAACCATTTTGTGAGCCTCAGTCTTTCCATTTTCAGATACATATACAGCAGCAGTGTATGCAAGAGATAGAGAGATGCTGGGGCTCTTGATCCCTCTAGATCAGCGGTTCTCAACCTGTGGGTCGCAACCCCTTTGTAACACTGCAAATACATCCTACATATCAGATATTTACATTACAATTCATAACAGTAGCAAAATTATAGTTATGAAGTAGCAACAAAAATAATTTTATAGTTGGGGGTCAGCACAACATGAGGAACTGTATTAAAGGGGCGCAGCGTTAGGAGGCATCAGGAAGGTTGAGAACCACTGGTCTAGATTTTCCTATTCTCATCTCCAAAGTGGGACCCACACAGTTCACCTGTAAGTGTAAGGATGGGAAGGCATAAGTAAATTAGACCCCATGAACCATATCTCTTCGTGTTTGTTATGGTAGCAATGGACTTTGGTTCTGTGATGAGCTAACATGGGCTGGTCTCTGTCACCAGACTAAACTCCTTAGAGCCAGAGTCACATCCTGTTCATTGATTCACTCTTCCCTCAGTTCTTGTACCCATCACTACCATGGGGGCTAATAGACCAGAGCGCTGGTAGGCCTCACACCCAGAGCTGACCTGACCTGCACGGGCTCGTGGCCTGCAGCTGGGGAGTGGTGGATCCTCTTGCTGTTGTTACAGCCAGTGGCTCTCTCCAGAAGCATCTGGCTGCCGGAATCCCTTGCCAGAGGGGCAGGTGGATCACAGGATTCTGGGAGGGCAGGTGCCACCTGACCAGCAGCCCCAGGGATCTCTTGGCTGAGAAATCCCTGCTGGACTCTGCTCAGCTGAAAAATGAGATTGTCCTTGGAACTTCCCAGTAAAGACAGGCAGCCTCAGGTCTGCTGTCTCTGTGGGTGGCTGTGTCCAGTAGCCCGTGTTCCCTGAGTCCCCCTGGCAAGCTTTTGTGGCTGGCCACTAGCCAGCCAGCCAGGGCCTCTGTCCAGCCTGCCTGTGACTATGTTCCCAGTAATGCACACTCCCCGCCCCCCTCCAGCAGGGCACAAAGGCATTGTTAATAGACCATGGCAGTCTCATTTGTAGACTCTATTCATCTGGCAGCCAAGATTGTATCCATGCTGGTACTCCCTCTCCCTTCTCACCCGCCCTTCCCCTCCCCACTCCCCCTTCCTTTTGCCTGGAGAGTGATTTGTCTGTGTTATGGGTCGGCCTGACAAACCCTTCCACATTAGCAGCTGAGATGTTGTTTGAAATGGGAAAATTGCTGGCAAACTGCTCCATTAGCGGTTCCAGTAACAAATACTCAGTTCCCCCAATGAAGATGAGATCGCAGAGGCACAAATTAATACGACTGTCTCCCCTACTCTGCAGCAGGGATTACTCTTCAAGATGAATGAGTTCAATCTGACCAGAAACACACACCCACTGGATGAGGCCTCGTTCCCTGCCCCCACCCCAGCCCACCCCTGCGTCCCCTCCTCACACACCTTTCTTGGTGTCTTCCCAGCAGAGGGTTTGGGGAGCAGATGAGGAGGTGATGAAAAGATCTGCACCTTAGAGAGAAGGGAGATGGATGAGGATGAGAAGCTGAGTCCTCAGCCCGGGCCAGGCCGCCATTCATCACCTCTAATAGAGGGCCCCGCCTTCCCCTCATGCCTGTTCCCATCACACCTGTTCCTGCTGATGAGAAGTTATTTGAGAGATGAAAGAATAAAGAATGGGCATGCTCACTCACTCCCCACAGTCCCTTCTCTTCCAAGGAAGTTCCAGGTTCTGGGCCTGCTGCGTCTCTTGTTCTTTGCAGAGTTAATAGGAGAGGAAGCGTTTCAGGAAAGTCCATACGAGGTTAAAGCCACAGAGTCCAGCTGCAACCCAGAGGAGTGGTCCAGTCTGGGGTCCTGCAGCCTCCATGATGTCAGGGAGCCAGTTTGATGAGTGTCAGGCTGGGGACCTAAAGACCTTAAGGCAGTTCCTCCACCATATTAACACAGCCCATTGAAAGCCCAGAAATGAAGCGAGCCATTGACATTTCAGCCCCATTAACAGGGCAGCTGGGTTTGTAACCGAATGTTGGCGTGGTTCCATGACAGACAAGCATTGCTGGCCCTTGGTCCATCTCTCTTTTAACCCTTCCTTTTCTTTATCCTTCTGACGTGTTTAGCACTCTGCTCAGTTACTTCCCACAGCTTCTTCTGAAGAAGACAGCTGCTTCCAAAGGCAGTTTACAGTAAGCAAGAATCACAACTCCTCAAGCAGACGCCATCTTTTCTAGCTTTCTCAAGGGGGGTTAGACCCTTGGATGAATGGGCCATATAGCAGGCCTGAGTTCTCTGGCCCTTCACATGCTCGTAGAGTCTCCCACAACCAGAATGCGTGTGCTTCGTATGAGAGAGACCACCTCGTCCTCAAGGCCAGAGAACACAGTAGCCCTTAGTGACCACTTGTTAGCAGATTAATTGTTAATTGTCCTTTCTCTGCTCTGTTTCTCAGACGCCTGGAACAGAACTCCATCAAATCCATCCCCGCAGGAGCCTTCACCCAGTACAAGAAGCTGAAGCGAATGTGAGTTTCCCCTGGGGAGAAATGAGCCCCACACGTTTTCACTGTGGGGAGTAATTTCCAATACATATAGTGGACAACCTGCCCAGATAGCAAACCACATCCATTCCTCCTGGGCAGTTCAGTTTCAAACCTGGAACACTCTCTTAAGATTGGGAGATAAGATTCAGAAGTATTGCATGCAGATTGTGAAACGTGTGGACTTCAGCGTGTAGAGATAAGAGCCTTTCCAACTGGAGCAAAGTAAAATTATCTGCATTGGAGGTAAAGATGAGTTGGCCTTAATATCCTATACCACCATTTTCATTGCCCCTCGGCTTTGGTGATTGGATGTAAAATAGGGTTTTAGGCAGAGAAGTGACAGTGGCCCCATAGCTGTCTACCCTTCTGTCACCAGCATCCCTACAACCACACATACATGTATGTAACACATATGTAGTGAATGTCTACAGAGCCAGGGATCTGTGGGTACAGCCGTGAACAGAAATGAAGTCTGTTCTCATGGAGCTTATGTTTGAGTGGCAGAACTGAAAAAATTAATAAATACCAGAAATTGACAAGTACAAAGAAGTAAAACCAAATAAAGGGGGGGCGGATCTAGTGTGATGGTGGGGTCATCTCTTCGGTGGGTTTGCCCTGAAGGCCTCTGCGTGCAGATGACATGAATGAAGGGAGGGAGTGAGCCCTGAGTGCTCAGGAAGATGGTCCCAGCAGTGGGGGAAGCACAGGGAGCCTGCATGGATGGTGTGTAGAGCAGCAGGGAAGGCTAGATCACGTGGGCCCTTAGACCATGGGGAGAACTTTCTGTTTTAAGTAAAATAAAAGGTTCAGACCTGGAGCACTCTCTTCAGAAATATGATGTGACCACAACCACTGCCTGCATCCCCACTACCACCGTAACCCATGCCGCTTCTGCTGTTACCCTCGTCAGTACCTGATGACGCCAACTCTGTTGCACCTTCTTGACCGGGGCAGCTTTGACGGCACTGTGGCATCATTGCCATCTCTCTGCCATCGTGACAATGTCATCATTCTTACCGATCATGCAATGACCTCAAGCACTGCTCTGTGAGTCACTCCAAACTGGGGACTCTAAAGACAGGCCAGTAGGCTCCAGATATAACCCAACCGTTGCCATCATAGATGTTAAAATTCAGGAGGGAAAGCTCTTTTCCTTTTTCAGGCTAAGAAATCATTCAGTCAAGCCCAGATGCTGTTTCATTCTACTGTTACTCTCTCTGTTCCACCCCCAATCACAGAGGAAAGAGAGGGCAGGTGGAATTACACATGGGCTCGTTCCTTCCGTGTGAGACTGATTCATTGGTTTCCCTCGAGTGGGAGGGCCTCTGTTAAAGAGGTTAAGTGTCTGCTGATTCCTTTTATGTTAAAAATAAACATCCCTGGGAAACAGTGGCATCAGTAAGCCTTACCCTCAGATCTTAGGAAGCCAACTTCCCATCTCTCCCTGGAAATCCAAATCAAACAAGATTTTCAGCTGGTGCAATTCCAGAAGTGGAGACCAACATAATGAGGCAGCTCTAAGCACGTACTTCTTCCCTCCCCTTGGCAGCATTCCTGCTGGAGGAGCTGTATAAATATAGGCCTTAATATTTAAAACCTTGGGCCATTAATCTCCTGGTGTCCCCGCTTCCCCAGCTCACTCTCCACACACCACCCCCCAATTCATTTTTAAAGCCCGGCTTGATTATGCAGCCAGATAGTAATTTCGGTGAAAAATGACAAGTTCAGTCACTGCCCCAACCTATATCTCTTGCATGATTTAAGTTACTGCTCTAATTTTTTGTGAAGTCCAGGTAATTTAGAGCTTGACTATGCTTTACTGTTCTTCCTCGGTCCTATTGGAGTTGCTGTCATTTGTGCATTCAAAATTCATAAGACCATCTCAGTCACGACCCGGAAAGGGAATTTAATTTTTGATCACTTCTGATGCTACTGATATTTATTATGATGCCCACTTTTTTTTCCCCAAAGGGGATGGCAATAGAGAAAAGGACCCATTTAGAAATTTTCAACTAACAGAAACTTCAGAAATCTAGACTACAATGCAATCGCTTGGGAAAAGTAGAATGAATTTCATTCTGTGAGAATGAATTTCAAAGCCCTGAGTGTGAATTTCTCCTCTGTGTACATGATCAGTTTATCCCTAATAGCTAATAGGAGGCCATTTCCTCCTTAACCATGACTGAACCACACCCTCCTCTTAGCTCTTAAAAAAGAACAAGAATTCTCTCTGAATGAATGACTTCATCCCTACCTATACTTAATGGTCATCTTAGTATTAAAAAACATTCCCAGGCAAAACTGGTAAAAGTTGAATATCCTTTATCCAAAATCCTTGGGACCAGAAGTATTTCAGATTTTGGATTTTTTTCCAGATTTTGGAATATTTGCATATACATAATGAGATATCTTGGGGATGGGATCCACATCTAAACAAAAATTCACTTATGTTTCAAATACACCTTATACACACAGCCTGAAGGTACTTTCATACAATACGTGAAATAATGTTGTGTGTGAAATAAAGTTTGCGTTTTGACTTTGACCTAACACATAAAGTCAGGTTTTTCTACTGAGGTGGAATTTTCTACTGGTGATGTCATGTCAGCACTCAAAAATGTCCAGTTTTGTAGCATTTTGGATTAATGATGGTAAACCTGTATCACGGTAGAGAAGCCCTTTGCAGGGAGTGTGAAGGCGCGGGAGATAACTTTTTGCTTTTACAGGCTGATTAACCGGTAGCCCTGACACTTGAGAGCCAAGCCTGTGTTTGGCCAGGTGTGCAGGGAGTGCCTTCATTCATGTGCTCTTAGGCAGAGCACTTTTCCATGGGCTCCAGGACTTCCTAGTGTCTCACGCTTATATTAAATGCCTGTTGCAGGCATTTAAATGTGCCACCTCTGTTCCGAACAGTCTAGCAAGGCTTTTCTTGGTCATCCAGTTCATAACCCCTGGAGGACTAAGGCAGGTCTAGATTGACCAGATTCTAAAACATCCTGGCCTAAAGTACGACCCAGGAGCCATCTATATGGGAATCATCTAGAGATTTGTAAAATATGCATATTTTAGCCCCCATCCCAACCCCACCCCTGCCAACCAAATAGGACTCACTTGTAGAGGCATTTTAATTAACATTCTCATGATCAGGTTTGAGAACTAGCGGTCAAGAGGGACACCAAAGCCCAGACTCAGTTGTGAGACCAGCCCACTGTGGGTGGGGAGGGGGCCAAGCATGGAGGTCAGTGGGCAGCTGAAGCTGTCCCCAGTCTGCCTACCCACCAGTGCCACTTCTACATCCATAAAAGGGAAACAGCAGAAAGGACATGAGATGTCCTCTCTGCACCCAAACAGCTATGCCAGGCCACCTGTAGCTCCAAATGCTTCAGCTCTCAGAGCTGCTGTTTCCTTCCTACAGAATTGAGAATTAAGCCTAAGTGTTCTGAACGATCTCACTTGGATGTGAAATCTAAAAAAGTTGAACTCTCAGAGTAGAATGATGGGGGACTGGGGATGAGGATTAGGGAGCTACGTCAAAGGACACTGAATTTCAGTTAGACAGGAAGAATAAATTCAAGAGACCCATTGTACAATGTGGTGACTCTAGTTAATAACAATTATGTACTTGGAAATCGCTAAGAGACTAGATCTCAAGTGTTCCCACCACAACTGATAAGTATGTAAAGTAATACATATGGTAAATAGCTTGATTTAGCCATTCTGTAGTGAATACATAGCTCAAAACGGAGTGTTGTACACCATATATATATACACACACACACACATATACACACACACACATATACACACACACACGTATATACACGTATATACACATATACAGGTGGCCATAAAGTTCGTGAGCATTTTTAAATTGCACACTATTTTAAATTGTACCCAAACTTTATGGCCACCCTGTATATAATTTTTTTAAATGGAAAACAAAAGCAAAGTGACCACCAAGGTCAATTCCCCAGCTAAACTATCACTTTTCCACCATCTCCAAACCAGGAGGCATCTCACCTTGTTCCCTAGGGAGGAATGAGTCCAGAAGTCTACTTGTGGACTGAAAACCAGTTTGCCCACGTAAAGCTAAAGCAGAGAGCTTCCCCGCTGGCCCCAGAGCTTCCCCTGGCATGCTAGAGGTCTAAGCTCTTTGAAGGGACAACCTATAGTCAGAAGGGGGAGAGGGCTAAACAGGCTTTCTCAATAGTTTGGTCTGAACAGATCCTGAGTGCTTGCTGAAACTCCTTGCCTAGGCAGCCACTCTGAGGGCGAGCAAGATTAGGATAATCCAGGGGTATTTGCTTGTTAAGACCCTTACACAAAAATGGAGCGCTGCAGAAAAGCCCCACGTAAGCTGACGAGTTTGTGAGCACAATCTGCGGATTTGCTAGAGGCGATTTCACCAGCTAAAGGGATAAACTAGACAGCTGTGCCGAAGGAGCCTTAACCTGTGGAGTCCCTTTCAGCCAGCAGGCTTTGGAGACAGGGAAGGGAGGGAGCAGAGGCCTGGCAGAGGTTGCTGCAAGTGGTCCTTTTGAAGGATATTAAGCGGAAGGAAGGAAACAGTTGGAGGAGATTCCCACTGCACCTGCAGGGAGGCTGGGAGGCTGGAGTGTCTGGCCTCGCTGGAGGCAAGTGCTTAAGAATCTGCTTAGATGTGCTTTTTTCTCCATATTCTCTTGTCTCTTTTTCGTTGACCCTCCAAGACCCCAGCTCTCCCTCTTCAGCACAAAAGCAAAGACCCATTGATTTACTTTGTTAAAGAAAAAGAACAGGAGAGGTTTGTTGTCACAGGAAATTGAGTATCTTTCCTTCCAGTGACAGGAGCCCAGAGGCCATCCCTGCACTAATGACTCTGAGAGAAGGAATTCCCCCTCAGTGAAGGGCCATTAGTAAGAGCTGGTGGCCGGTCCTCAGAAGTCCCTAGAATGCTAGCAAATGGGCAGCCTCAGGGGCCCTGGGGAAGGAGCCAGGGTCAGAGATTTCTCTGCACCAACCAGGCTGGGGGAGTTAGCTGCCTTGCAGCCCAGCGTTCTAGAATTGTTCAAGCCCACAGCATCCTTCTCACTCTGATTATCCAAGTCCCCAGACATTATCACGCTCTGTGCTTGGTCCCCTCTGTGGAACTCCTGCCAGCCAGCAACAAGCCCATGTGTCAAAGGTGTCCCTTGAGAATCCCATGATGTGCCGACATCACACAGCCAAGAGGATGCACTAAACCAGACGGAGACTTAAGTCACTGCTCAAAACCTCCTCTCAGGTCACAGAGGAAAAGTCACTGGGGAGATGAAATGACTCAGGACATTCTGGGAGAAAAATAAGCATTTGCTGAGACAAGAGGCCAGAAGATGATGCTTAAAGGAACCCTGGGCTATAGTGGGTCAGGCAAGGCTGGTTCCTGTTCCATTTACACCGTTAATCGCTTGCTAATGAGACCTAAGGCCCTAATTACACGAGGCTCATTTTTTCACCTACAAAGTGAAGCCTCTCGTGTGCACAGCCCCATGTCCAAATCAAGATGCCGTGGGTGAGTATTCTTTGATGAACAAGACGAGTGATACAAATGCAGTGAACTTTATCAGGAGGCAGTTGAACTGAAGGGTCTTTACGCTCCTTCTCTTACACTATGAATAAATAAACTGATTGAATGATTGATTAACCCTTGCCCTGCAGAATGCCTGAAATGCTCGATTCACGCTTGGGAATGACCGTGATCACACCTTTGAGCCATGTTCTCAGACTCTCCCGTTCATGTTTTCAGAGACATCAGCAAGAATCAGATATCGGATATTGCTCCAGATGCCTTCCAGGGTCTGAAATCACTCACGTCGCTGTAAGTAGGGCCAGCACGGGGTGGGAGGAGGTAGAAGAGGGCCGAGGCCGTATTTTTCAGGAGGTGTTTATCAAGGCTTTATGTTCCCTTACACACTTGTGGCAACCTGGTAAAAGAAACAAATATTTCTTCAGGGGAAATTGATCTTGGGGAATATTTCTACAACCCAAATGCATTATTTTTATTGATTAAGTGCCCAGCAGCTTTCCCAGTTATTGGCTTCTAATTCGAATGCATCTTCCGCTCTAACTTCACTCCCCCCACACATCCCCAGGCCACGGCAGAACTCTCTCTCGGGAGAATGTCGGGAGAGAATTGTAACAAGTGTTTATAACTGATGCGGCCATTTATGTGGCCTTGCCAAGCCAGGAGCTTATTTTTTTTCCCCTGATTTTTAGGCCTTTTCTCCAGACCATCCTCATGGCCATTATTCTGGGAACACATCCACCCATCCTATAGCACCTCCTTTCTTTGAGATTGAAACCCTTTAGCAGCCCACTGGGTAGAACCACCCACTAGGGGCTCCGAGACCGCCCGAGGCAAGAAGGTGTGGGATTTGCTGTGTGGCATAGATAGTCACTAGAGCTTTCTATGTATGTCTCCCCACAGACAAAATGGGAACACTGATAACCTTTCCTACGTACACCCATTCGATCATGATTACACTTACAACCAAACAGTCATCGGCAGCACTTAACAGCACTGACTATGTACCACTGTTCTAGGAGTCTTACTGGTTTAATCCTCACAACAACCTAAAATATAAAATCTAGTGTCATCTCTTTTACAGTTGAAGAAATTGGGTAATCTAAGCTCTACAAAGATAGGGATTTTTATCTGTTTTGTTCCTGGCTTATATGTCTGGCACCGCTGACTATACCTGGCACACAGTTATTATGCAAAAGGAAAAAAAAAGAAAGCCTTGTCAAATAAATAAATGTAACTTTTCCAAAGTGTACAGTAACAAGTAGGAAAGGTGAGGTTTGGATCCAAGATGTCTGGCTCCAGAGCCCACACTTTTGATCAATCTTTCTACACAACCCGTTTGCCGAATTTACAAGTGGGCAGGTTAAAAGATACACATCTCTCCCCCCACCCCCAGCTCCACCCCACTGGGCAGGGGCCGAGGACAGGGACATCTCTGGGTCAGCTGCTGCCTGCTGCTTGCAGAGTAAATTAGTTTCATTTATCGACTAGAACATCTGGCTGGGATATCAGAGACAGGACTATGTGTGAGATTAGCGCCTGCTCATTGTGTTCAAGATCACAGAGGAGAAGGGAGAGGGCCACCTGCCACTAGGATCCTCTCTCTGCCCCCACCCTCCTGCTCCTGTGGTCTGCTTCCCCTCAGCCAGGAGCTGAGGGCAGTCTGAGGACAGTGAGCTGCTTCCAATCTTGCAGGAAAAGAAATCCAAAATCTGGTGGCCAGACATGAAATTGTCATGCCACTGGCCAATTGTTAAATATATTTGGGCATTAAATGGAGCACTGCTCACCCCCAGTTGATTCATTCATCCATTCAGTAGATGCCTGCTGTATACCATCCATTCAGTGGGTGCCTGCTGTATACTGAGCAATATTGTAGGCATTGAGAACGTGGCAGGGAGCTGGACAAGCAAGACCTTGGCCTCACAGAGCTTGTAGGTGAACATAGGCACACCTAATCCCAGCAGACGAGGGACCGAGGTAGACGGCTGGAGAGCCTTTCTTTACCCCTTCCCTGTTCATTCATTTATTTACTCATTCATTCAACAGATATGTATTGTGTTAGATCTTGTTCTGTTTGGGGTGTTTAGGGACCAGTCATGAAGAAGCCATATAATGTCACTGTATGTATGGAGCCTCCATGCAGGGGAGCTGGGGGGAAGGAGGCAGAAAAAAAATTAAAATGAATAAGTGTATAAGTAGTGTAATGTGACATAAAGGGACAAGTGGTGTGAAGAAGTAAAAGTAGGGTAACACATTAGCTGAAATATTGCAGAGAAGTCTCCCAAGGGTGAGATGTTTTAGCTCCCACCTAGCAGTCAGGGAGAAGGTAATCAAGGTAAGATCTAGGGCGGGAAATGAGACAGAACTACACTCAGACACCACCACCACCCCCGCACCACGGTGGATGCAAAGGCAGGAGGTGGGTCCAGCTTGCTTCAGCCTGCCTGAGGTATAGCAGGTGGCCTGAGAACCCCTCTGACCCAAGCCCCCACCCCTATTGGGCACCATCCCCTGCTGTACGAGAAGCTATGACATCAGCTAGGACAAGCAGACAGTGACATGACTACATTTGGCACAGTGAGCAGTAGGGCATTAATATGAATTACAAATGTGAGCCTGAGCCATCATGCTGACTTTTATTTAGTCATTAATTTGTTGAAACATTAATGAAACACACCCGCAGGCTGATGGAGACGTTCACTCTTCACTCCCAGTGGTGTCTGGAAATTGGGGGGGTGGGGGGGGTTGTTTTATGGCTCTCATTTACCATCCCTGCATCCTAATATTTTGTCTCCCCAAAGAAGGATAACAGCCTGGATTTGCAATCCGAGTCAGAATTGAATATTGCATTCATTCGGGGCACTTCGGAGCCTAATTGGGGACTTAAAACAGATACACACATGCATTCAGGAAAACACGCACACATCTCAAGCCCTCCTTAGATCAGCATCCTCAGGCACAAAAGAGGCAGTCTGTGCTATGGGTGGGAACAGAGAGAGGCCAGCAGGGTCCCCTAGGGCCTGTGTGAGGATCAACAAGGTCCATGCACATAGGCCCACTGCACCCTGGGGAGGGAGACCCAGTGGGCTTCTTCCCCTCAGGACAGCAAAGACAAGACCGTGAACAGGAGACACCAGTGTGAGGGACACTGCAGGCCGAAAAGAGAGAGGGGCAGAAGGGTTCTGAGTTCCTGGGCTCCTAGGATGGATCAAAGGACAGAGAAATGGAGTAGAAAGCAGAAGCTGCCATCACTCCAACACAGTGAAGCTCCCAAGTTTTTCCTGAAGCCAGTCCTTGACTCAGCATTCCCTGAGCCATGTGGAGATGACCTCAGACACCCCAGGCCCTTTCCAGATGGATGATTAAAGGACTTGCTCAGGAATTCCTAAGAGGCAATGGGCTATTCAAAGGAAATGTTCTGTAGGCTGGGCTCAACCTGATCAATACCCATTGAAGACCAGGCGTCCTCCCACATCGCTTATTTATTGCCTGGGTGTGAGTCATGTTAGCAGCTGGGAAGACACCAGGGAGGGACTATTTCTCCCTGTTGTTTATTACCTATTGGCCTGGCCTGCCCGAGAGGGAGCCCGATTGTCCTCACCTCCCCGACAGCCTTCCCTCCAGCCCCTGATTGCCCTTGGCTACCTCTGTCTCGCTGATGAGGAAAAGGGATCTGAAGTCTGAGGAAGCAGATGTCCTGAGGTCCCACACCCAGAGTTGGCCGAGGAGACAGCCTCCTATATAAGTGAGTTCTGGTGGCCTCACATCCACAGTAACAGCTGTCTTCTGCTCTCTTTCAGGGTACTGTATGGGAACAAGATCACCGAGATTGCCAAGGGACTGTTTGATGGGCTGGTGTCCCTGCAGCTGCTGTGAGTAGGACCTTGTCCCTGTTTGTGTCTCTTGGACTATTTACAGGCTCTGCCCTGAAAACTTTGAACCTATGCCCTGGAGAGTTCTTTTGACTTTATGTGCATCAAAAGGAAAAACACATAATCTGAGCTATGCACTCACTCCCTCCATCTCCTCCTCCTTTCTGAAAGAAGAACCAGGGCGTTGGCCATAAGAAGGCCAAGGTCAGTGTGCACAGACCCACGTGATACAGCTCAGGCCCCAGGCCCAGGCATGAATTACTAAGCACAAGTTTGGGGCTAGAAATCAGGAAAGTGTTGAATCTCACAAAGGGGGAAACATCTTACAGAAGTGTGCAAAGAAAACAAGCGCATGCCAAATTCCAGCGCGAAAGCTGAGACGGAGCTGCTGATAGACGTGTGACCTTGAAGAAGAGTGGGGGTGGGGGCGAAGGAATTACCGAGAATATTGTCACCAACGTGACTCTATCTGGGTAAGACATGGCTGAGGGGGGAAATGTTTACTTAATTTATAGGAAGAGTTGTTCCCTCGAATTTTAAGCTCCAGGATTATTTGTTTACATTTATATTGCTCAGGTCATTTGAGCTTAAATGTTTGAAGAAGATAATTGAACTCTGACGTAGAGACCGAAGGAAAGAAATTGAGCTTATACCGTATTTTAAGATTTTGTGATGAGAAGAGAATCATCTCTGCTTTGATTGGGCAGCAGTAGCGTCTACACACACGTACTGTGGGTGTGGGAGAGTGTGTGTGTGTACGTACGCATACAGGTTTGCTCCGTGACCATCACAGCTCATGTTGGTGTTCGGAACTGATCTTGAGTATGCTGTGAGCAACAGGGAATACCAAGTCTCAGAGAGAGAAATGACTGTCCCTTTAGTCACACAGCAAAATAGGTGTGGAAACTGATAGAGAGTGTACTGGTCGCGTGGCTCAGATGATTCCCAGCCCCCTGAGGATGTGTAGCATGCAATGTGTAGTCACAGAGACGTGCCAATGAGTGTATACACTTGTGTCTTTAAAATCACCTCCAAGTCACAGGCAGTGGGGAAGAGGCCTGCTTCCCATCTGCAGTGTGAGCTCACAGGCCAGGGGGCAAGCTGGATCTCTAAATGAGTGGGAGGCACAGGAATACAGAGGGAGAGAGGAGAGTGGGCAACACATCCTGATGCCCACGGGTGGATGGGGTGTCACATTCTGCCAGGCTAGTGTGAATGTTTTTTATAATCTGTGTGTTTAAATCTGGGCTTTTAAGGCTATTTGTTAAAAGGACATGCCAGGGCTGTGCAGGGAGCTGGGTGTTTCACAGATGGTATTCTTTGCTTGTAGCAAAGAGACTGTAAGTTATAACTGCCACCATAAGGCTAGTTAACTGTAGCTATTAATCCCCTGAAAGAAGAAACAGCAGCCACCTTGCAGTAGATTTGGGGGTGTTGCCTTCACCAGGCTGGTTTGCATGTGGGAAGGAAAATGCTTTCTTTAAACATGATACAGTTGCAGAATCTGCACCAAAGTCCCTAGCACTGTGCATGGCCATGTATCAAAGATGCTATAAATGCATTTTTAAAAAAAAGAGAGAGAGAGAAATGTGTCCCAGCTCCAAGCTGACGGTAGTCACAACATTAATAGAACAGGACTTTGCATGGGTTGGGAAGGCGAGCCCAATTTACTATCACCATTTTGAACAGATGGAATCGAGTAGCTCGGATAAAAACAAAGCATCCCCCTCTCTCAAAACCAAGAGTTGACACAACTCAGGCAGCCTGACTTTCCAGAAGGAACCAGCAACTGGGGCTCGAGTAGCCGTCATTGGGCTTTGACCTGCTGTTGGGCAGTTGGAAAGTGAGTCGTGATTAGATCTAATTTAGCGTTCTGCCCGCTGTAGATTGAATTTCTCCCTGTTAGACTGGAGACACTCTGATAAGAAGGCTCTGATTAGAATACTCTGGTAGTCTGGGTAATTTCCTCTCCTTTCACTCAAAGGCTTTTTGTGAGAGGTTTGTATTTTTTCTTCTCACTCCAGCTCTCCAATTATTGATACATCACAAAGCTGAGCTGTCTCTGCTGTACCAAGTGGTCCTGGAAGTTTCCTTTCTGGCACCTGGGATTATGCCAGTAATACAGAGGGTACATTGCAGCTTGGGGTCCTGCCTGCCTCACTTCTTCCCCTATTTCTCTGGACTTTTCAGCCGTCCCACCACACTTGCTGCTTCCAGGAGGTACCCAGCCAGCTCCCCGGGATGGTTTTCTTGGCATGTTCTTTTGACCATTCTTGGTGGCATACCTCAGCGTTTCTCAAAGACTATGGCAAGCAGATCTACATGGACGAGCTTCTGCAGTTCTGGGAGATGCCCCCTAGACACGGTCCCCTGTCCCAAGCCTTGCAAGCATTATCCCCTTTCATTTAAGTTCCCAAACCATAGAGTTCGAAGGAACTTCAGGGCTCCAAGCACAGCCTCCTACCTAGCTGGGGCAGACACCTTCCCGTGCACCCTCTGACGTATCCTCCTGTCACTCCCTTGCTGATGCTCTCTGTGATAAGTCTTCACTGCATAGTTAGAAGGTTAGAAAGGTCTGTCTTGTATTAAATGTCAGCAGTGGCTTTGGGGAAACTCAGCTAAGCCTGTTATTATTGTCTTCAGGTGTTTGGAGTAGCTAGCATGTCCCCCTGTAATTAATGCTAAACAGGAAGGGTTCCTGCAGCCTGTATAAACACACATTCATTGCTTGTTACTAGCAGCCCTTACTGTGTTTGGGAATGCAACGTAGTCTGTCCACTTCCCTCCTGAAAACTGGATGATGTCAAGTGAGTTAGGTGCCCGTTTAAACAGTAGGAAGTGTGTTTGGCACTGAAATATCCCACATGGAGGCATCTCCAAATCCAAGGGAGAACAGGACGTGGTACTACTGTTCCCCAACTCCAGGGAGGGGAACAGCTGGATTACCACAGAGGTGATGTGTCCTCCCCCTCCCTGGACACCTGAGACAAATGGTCTTGTTGCTTTCCATTCCCTGCCCACTCAAGCTCCTGGGCTCTTGGGACATCTGTGGAGACCGTGATCTGGTGCAGGCAGCCAGCCGGTTTGCCCCCACATGTCTTGCTCAGAGGTCCATCTTCCTTAAAGGTGGAAAAGCTGTCAGTGTGTAGCCAGGGGCTGTCATTCCTCCTCTGACCGACAGCAGCTAGCTGCACAGTTACAGCTCCCCCCAGGGAGTAAAGAGCATCATTTAGAGCTCTTTGACTACATGGCATGCAAAGGGCCGTCACTCAAGTGGGGAGGACAGTCATTTGAGGTGGAAGCTTTTAAACTCACTCCAGGAGGTCCTAAACCAAACCCAGACTGTCTTTGTGCTGGAATAAGTTAAGATAACTCAGGCACCTGTTTCATTTTCTTGGAAGGCAGACAAGACCATTTGAGGCTCTAGGAGTTTTCCAAGCAACATGCCAATTACAGAGCAGTGAGCACGATTTTCCTCTCTGTGGCTCACTTCCCCTCACCAGCTGTTTCACAAGGACTCCTTACTACTGCTGCTAATAATAGCAGGGAACAGTTATTGAATACTTAATATGCACCAGGAGCGGTGCTAAGCAATTTCACATGCATCTTTACAACAACACTAAGAGAAAGGTATTGTAGAAAGGTCCATTTTACAGATGGGGAAACTGAGGGTGAAGTGACGTGGCCATTGTCACCCAGCGTGTCAGTAATAGAGCCATGTTTGGAACCTGGGCGGTCTAACTGGAGTCCATGCCCTTAATCACAGCATATCCTTCCAGAGACTTCTGCATTACCAAGTCGCAGCTGATCTGCAGAGCCAGTTAAGAATAAGAATTCTTACTTACAGAGTAAGAATTCCTCACTGGGCTGGGTGCAATAGCTCATGCCTATAATCCTAGCACTCTGGGAAGCCAAGGGGGGAGGACTGCTTGAGCCCAGGAGTTCAAAACCAGCCTAAGCAAGAGCAAGAGCAAGACCCTGCCTCTGCTAAAAATAAAAAAATTAGCCACGCATTGTGGTGAGCACCAGTAGTCTCAGCTACTTGGACAGGTGAAGCACTTGAACCCAGGAGTCTGATGTTGCTGTGAGCTAGGTTGATACCACAGCACTCTAACCTGCACAACAGAGTGAGAGTGTGTCTCAAAACAAAACACACACACAAAAAAAAAAAAAATAGAAGAAGAATGCAAACCAAGGAGAAGCTGCTGTTAAACTATCCATCAACTCTTGATGTACCTCGGTATAAGTCAAGGGCCGCTGTCTCCAAGGAACTTTCCCTGGTTCATTGCCACTAGACCACTAAGGTTTGCATTACTCTCTGTGAGAAGGTGATCAAGGAGCTGCTTATTTTTAGTGACTCAGTTGAGGGGGGCCAGGAAGAATCCTCTCCAGCAGTAGAGGTAGACTGCCTTGGTGATACGTTCTTGAGGGACAGGCAGCTGGTACTTCCTAAGGAAAATCCATGGGGAGACTTAAATTCTCATCATTCCATGCTCAGTCATTGGGTGAATGGTTCACGCCTCTTAAAGGACAGATCAGTCCTCTAAGGCAATCAGGAAATAACCACCCTAATAGTCCTATGGGAAGGAAGGGGCACGCCTGGTCCCAGGAGGTGTGGTCACTCTCCTGCTAAGCAGGGAATGCCTCTCCCTCTCTGGTTTCTTAGAATGTCAGCTTTCCTCTTATTCCCTTAGGAAAACCCAACTGCTTGCACCCCGTTCCTAGGGCCCTCTTGTGCCTCTCGAGTAGAAGGGAGTCTTGTTTTTCAGGCAGGCCACTCAATGGCATGGCTGCATGAGCACTTTCCTTTGCGTCAGGAATCACCATGACAACCCGCAGCCCTTCACAAGCTGTGCAGTCATTATCAGGAGAGAGGGGAGAAGTCATCTTTGCCCCTAGTTAGGACTAGGAGGGCTCCTCCTGTTTCCTCTGGGTTTGTCACGGTGTAGCCTAGAGCAGCTGCCCACTGGCACACAGAAGATTCTGGGTAGGGTCAGAGC